TAATGTTGCAATGACATTCGTAGAAGTGTCGCAGCAACATTCCAAATTGAAAACATTGAAGCAATGTTTTCTCAATGTTGTACATTGAGAAAACAGCAACTTGCAACATGAAGCAACATAGGCAACATTTCGGAAACGTTTAATCAACACGCTGTGTTACTTGGGAAGTCGTGACGGTCGAAGGCGACTGCATTTAAGATCAGTCGGGCTGCCGCCCGAAACTATCATAGATCCTAACACCCTGTTATACGGGGGTAAGGATCGTGTTGAATTCTGAGTGAAGAAAAAAGCATTGAACAAGAAAAAGTCAATTCAGAGAAGGAGGGGGAGTAATGTAATGCTCACTCTGGAGCTATCAATACCTCTTATCGGAATTTATTCCCAACAGATATAGCTGTCACGTATTGGATGGGGACCAACCCTAATAAACACACGACTGAGGAAATATTTGGTAATCTCGGCTACGGTACAGCAAATTCAGGAAAGAAAATCCACCATCGAAATTTCAAAGCAATTACACAGTTATATTAATATTCAAAAGTTCAAATGGAGAAAGGATGCCGAAATAAAATAATGGAGGGACAAAAGACAACACCAGGAGCACAGGAAAACCGTCTCACAGGCAAATCTCTATGTCATCCCCGCCCCACCCCACAAACTTCTCCTCGCTCTTGCTCTCGCTATCCCTCACTCTCTCTCCCTCTCTCTCCGACATCCTTCGACTCCCCTTTTCTCCCCAGTTCTTCGTGGATGGAGCCGATAAGGATTTCCGTTCCAGATTATTTGTCCGGATGTCTCGCCTGGGGACATTATCGGTCGACAAGGTCGGGATATCCGTTCCCGGAGAAGGGATGCATTTATCTATCTATGACATCATGCGTCTTGTATTAGGTCCCCAGATACGACCTTCTCAATGAGCTTTTTCATATGATTCATACCTTATGGTGAAGTGATGTTCCCAAGACTCGTGCGCTTCGAGGCTCATCGCGAGAGTTGGACTGCATGCAGCGAATCCTGCGGGGGGCGTGAGGAAAATGAGCCCCGAGGACTACCAGCAGTGGAGGCACTTCCACGAGAGAAGGAAGAAATGGCGATACTTGATGTTGGTCACGGCGTTGCTTGGGATCGTCGGGTTGATCGTCCGAATCACCATGGGGGCCGAAACGGTCGGGTATGTCTCCATGGACTTCATTGTGGCTGGGCCTCTCGCTGTCTTCCTGGTGGCTTGCATCTTCGACAGTTTCGACAGACGACACAGGAAACCTAGGGTGAGTAATATGCGATGTTCTCTCGTTCGTTGATCTCGCGTTCGATGTGATCGATGCTGTATGGGGTTGATTACATGATATGAAGCAACGCGCAAGTAAGTTATTATCGCGTTAGCCCTCCGGCTACATATTTTAGTGGTTGGACATGTCTGGACTGACTTCATAAGCAATACATATTGTACTACAGTCGGGAATAAATACATAGTACACATGCGGGCAACTGCGAAGTGACAGATTCCTTGCGAGTGTTTTTTTTTCTACTCTCGCAAAGCATCGGTTTTAGCACGTTGAGTTCTTTTCAGGTACGTACGCGCGTCGAGTTTGAGTATCGCGGGGCATTAGCTTCCTGCTAATCGATACTTTTACGCGGTGAGTGGACTTTTAGGAGGAATGCGATGGAGATGAAGGTGTGCGGGTTGCATTTCTATTTCCCTAATTTTTTAAGTATTTCCCCGGCAACAAACTTGAATATAAATTTCACCCCCTTTCCTCTTGACTTGGCTCTCGGTGGCTCCTTCCTCTTCCAACTGCTCGTCCCCATGTCGAAGGGTAGAGATATGTTGATCGGGACACGATATTGATTCCAGAAAGAAATGAGCTGCGTATCCTTTCGAAGGGGAGGCTGTGGATGTGAGATATATATATCGCTGGAAAGAATGAAAATTGGTGGACCCGCAAAGGGACAACGTTGGAGGAGATCGTACCGCCTTGGATCGGAAAGTAGTGATGGCCTCGGGAACAAAACAATTATACACAATTTTTGTGGGTACTGGTGTGTCCTCCCGCATATGTCATCCAAACTGAAAGGGGTTTCAAAGGGAAGTATCATATGTATCATATGTATCATACATATATCATATGTAAGTATCATACATCAAACAGTGAGGATACATTTTGCGTGTGCTTACTTTGTCACTGGACAACAACTCGAGGAGTGAGATACCACTGATACGACGACCACGATCACCGCCACGATGAAGATGGCAATCTTTTACGCCATAAAATCTTTTTCAAGGGTAGCATACACTCCAAGGCACTCTCCAAGGCAAAATATTAAGCATACATTTTCAGTTATTGAAGAAGATAACTCGGAGTGTCAGATGGAATCCCGAGTAGAATCACCTACATGCTGTGGCATCAGACCAGTTAAAGTGATTACAGTACTCTAGGTACTCTATGGCCAAACTATCTCTGTGGTTCGCCGTTAGAGTCGTCTCCGGAACCAAGCCCCTTTCATTCCTTCCTTGGAGCTAATATAGCCGGACGTCTCCATAGACTGGCTTGCATCTTTCGGCCAGAGGCCAGTAGGGTCGGTGATAAGAATTCCGACCCTGATATAATGTCCGCCCCCCACCATCATATTTCAACGTAACCTAAAGTACCAACAGCCTTATTCAACCAAAGTACACCAATGTTTGGTCTCAGCGTCAATAGGAAGTGTGCGCATTTTCCTCTCGATTGGCACAGATCCCCGCAAAAATTACTTTCGTACCGTGGTAAAAGGGAGGATTTTCAGCTTCAGGAGGTCGGAATTTGTCTTACCTACCCTACACCTGCTGCAAACCGAAGTACAGGAGCTGTTGTGGAAGGAGTCACCCTGATCTTCAGAAACTAGAACCCAAGTAACATCTGAACGTTCAATGCATGTTTACCGAACTTTCAATACTGCATACTTTCAATCATCCTTGTTCATTGCTCTGAAAAGCATCGCACAGAACTCATTTATTACATTCCCATTCGTTAATGCAGAGACGTAACACTCGTTTTTGGAGAGGAAGGACATCGTTCGCTATAATCGTTGAAATAATAAATGAGTTACTACATTAGGTATAGGTTTACCCTATATAATAACATACTAACCTAAGTTACCAATCCCTCCTGCCCTATACTTTGGCGTCCGCTATATTTCCCTCCGATTCAGTGCCTTGCTGTTGGAGTGGATCCCAAGCTGTACATGTTCCCGAACGTCCCATACCTCTTCGTGGACAGTGAAGAACTCCCGGCCTTGAATCGCATCTGGTACGTGGGGCTACCCGAAGATGTCACGCCCCATGGGGCCAGAAGCGTCAAATGCCGCGTGCATCGGAATGCCCTGGAAACGATACGGGGGAAGTTCTGGAACATGAAGACGACCGTCCCTACGCCGAATCAGGGGGATCCTCCGTTCTGCGTTAAAGTGGACTCTTTGGGAGACCGTCCCGATATGGTGGAGGCCGTCCTTTGGGATCCCTCTTCCGTCCCTGCTTCTGCACCTCCATCTCAGGTGCTTTCGTCACATCCGGCTCAGGCGTTGTTGTCAAGTCCGGCTGAGGCGCTTTCGTCGCGGGCAATAATGGAGGCCAGAATAGATCTCGCACTGCGGTTGTTGCAGCAGCAGCAGCAGGAATGTTTCTGGAATGATCAGTTGTTCCAACTCGAACTCCAAACTCCAAGTTCCCATTTTGACATGCCGCCGAGTTACGAAGAAGCAATACAGCTCTCGGCTCCGCCCGTGTCGATATTAAGAAAGCGAAGAAATACTAATTCTCTCTAAGGAAATCCTCACTCTTTGAAAATCCTCTTCCGATGTTTTGTTTTTCTCTTCTGACTGGCTTGGATGAATTACGACGTGATATAATATTATACATTGATTCTGTAAGAGTTTGAGAACCTTCTGGATATCCAGTTCCTCAACTCGTGAATGAAGAGATGAATTGCTTTGCAACGTTTCGAATTGGGAATTCGTTTTGAAAAGATTTCTGATGCATTCTTTTCTTGTAGGTGCAGACAGAAAAGAGTCGTAAGCGGCAGCCTATTGTTATTAGATATTTATTGTAATATGTATTTTATCTCAAGTTTTTTCTTCAAAATTTAAAAGGGAAAATCCGAAGCGAGTAATCCTAGAAATCTCCACATTTGCTGCATGATTTCTCCTTCTTACATTTCTTTGAAACAGCCATAATTAATTTCGCAATATTCCCTCAATTCTGGTTCTCTGTTCGCCGAAAAATTGCTGAACCACACAAGCCATTGCAAAGGAAGCGAGGCACTGCGACCTTTTTAATCAATTATGAGGACAATAATTATCATAATTAAAACAATTCTTAGGAAATGCCAGGGGCAAACGATGTAGATTCATCATCGTTTTCCTGAGGATTGTCGTCGAATTCGTGAATGTTGCAGCTGAGACGGCTGAAGAAAAAATAAGTAACGCATCATTTATAGTTTTTTCATTTATGTCATTTCCGGCGTTGCTGGGCTGTTATCGTCATGGTACCGGCATTATTATGGCAATATGTATGCATGAGCGATTTAAGAGGAAATTTGCAAGTTATTGCTTCGCTTTCCAAGGTTGGGGCTGGGGGGGGGTGGGGGGGGAAATTGGTTGGAAATGCTGAAGTTTTATCTGCATTGCAGTATTGCCTTCCATAGAAGCGGCTTGGAATAGGGTTTCCGAAAGCTACGAAGTTGCATGGCCCAATATAGGATTATTGAAAATGAACGCTCCGCCGTTTTCTAAGGGAGAAATGAATATTCGTGTTTTCGAGCAAATGTTTTTATAAGTTTAATAAAATCTTGATATTCGACAAATACACGGTGCTGAGATCATCGTCTGGGTGTTTCTCGAAAAAATTCTTTGAGCAATGCAATGTGCCGTTACAAGGCTTACAGGTGGATCATTACTCCTTAAATGCAGTAATTGTCTATGCTCCAACACCTCAAAATTCGAAGAGTAGTTTGGCATGTTGGGACTGAAACCGACTCCTTATAAATTAATATTTTCAAGTTGGCTTCAAGATGAAATCTTTTGAAATCTGATGAAACTGATATTTTTCGGCAGAGAGACTCACGAGGAACTCTACCCAAGTGATAATTTCAGATTTCCACCAAAATTTGCTCATTGAAAGGACTCTCAAAACGAAGTGAAATGGCACCAAAACTTGTGGCTGAGAATCAGGTTTAGGCTCAATTCTGGCTATCTTAATTTTTTAGTGAGATAGGACTATCATAGTCACTGCTGTAATTCAATTGGGTGTAATTTTTCAAATTTAAGTGAAATTCAGTTGATTCTTGACAGAGAAGTTCGTGAGCCGAGGAGGCAAGAAGAACCCTTGCTGCAAGATGTTGCTGCACGCCGATAGCGGACGCTGATGTCGACAACAGCGCCACCTATCTACTTGCTCTCTCATTTTTTTTAGGCATGGGGAAATGCCTATCAGCTACATTCGAGCGTTCTCTCAAAGGAAATGGTCAATCGGAGTTGAATGTAAAAATGTAAAAATCGAATTTTGTTTGGTCAGAACTTTTTAAGGGATCGTCAGATGCAGCTGATGCTTTGCAGAGACGATCAAGGGTTCATGACTTATTCTTTATGTAAATTCGAACCCATTTAGCAAGTTTGAATTCATTTGAGACGCGAGAAAAAGAAAACTCTCCAAACTCACGTCGTGGAATTCCTAAAAGTGAAGACGCAGGAAGCTTTGACATTCACCTTGATGTGGCACTTACTCAACCCTAGGTCAGCAAAAACTTCGTAATTTTTTTTAGCGAAAGAAATGGTAATTTATAAGCATGAAAAACGGGAAATTTCGTGTATATTGCTCTTTCCATCATGTAACTACGTGCATAAAAACTGACCTGAAGCTCTACGCTGGAAATATGGAAAGAATTATGAATATATTGATAACTATGATTTGATTATATGAATATGAGAACTATGATATAAATATATGAATATAACTAGAGTTCCTCAATAAAATAGAACAATTAATACTTCATCACCTTCACATGTTTTCAAAATATGTTTCACCTCAAAAATGCATATTTAATTCGTGAAAATCTTTAATTTCCATTAGGAGTCCAATTAACTCATCACTAATCATGAGAAACGAATCGAGTTCGGCGGATTTCCCCATCCGCGCGTCGGATATTCGCGACAGCGAATATCGATGAAACGGCAATAACTCACAATGATGAAAAATTTTCATCAAACAGGAACAAAACACCTTTTCCTGATTTTAAATTCAAGGAGGGGAGGTTTTGGCTCTCCGTGCGACATTTTCCGGAAATCACGAGTTCAGTCAGCAGCCCTTTGAACGCGCAATGCACAGCAGCCGCTCGGGAATCGTTCGTCTTGCCGCACATTTCCGCTTTTGGCGCCATCTCACAACGGGATCAGGAAACTTTCCTTGTTCGAAAGTCTCGCCCGACGTGTTGATGAAATGTTGACCGGGCAATGTCCTCGCAATGTTTATATTTTCACCATTGCGTCGATGTTGACTTTGCATTGGATCGTCAGCATCAACATCATCTCAACATTGTTAACATTGTATCAACATATTGTCAACGTTGTCGTGCAGACTGGGGCTGAATCCACAGGGCTGAACAACCAAGTGGATAGGAGTTGGATTTGGAACCAGGTGGACGTCCCCTCCCCGCCCCCGCCTCCCTCCCCGCCCCCGCCTCCCCCCCCCCCCACCATGGTGGAATTTCACCTAGCCCTTCTCGCACACGTACATGTATTTCGAGTCAGATGGATATTCCCTCCCGGATGGACTTTTCCGCAGGAGGAAATCGCTTAAAAGTGTGGAAATCCGCTCGGGGGACATCCGCCAGATTCCAAATCCACATAGGAGGTGGATGTTGAACGAGAGCTGTCATTGTGTCAACAAAGGCTATGCGGCCAATGAATTCGAGTTCAAACCCAAGGCGAAATTCACAGAACTGCAAATTTCGGCACTTCGCAATCGTCAACATTCTGATTCCACTGCCAGTACCCCAGCCATGGGTAGACGAGTATTCCTAGATGGCAGGACTAATGCTGTTAGCATGTGCTTGGAACGGTCATATTTGTTGTTGTAAGATAGTTTTCTCGCAGTGGCTGCCCATTCAAGGCGCACTGCGACGATCTGTGAAATCTTGCCATTTTGCTAAGCTTTTGCACATTCCGTTCTTCTCTTCCATGATTGGTATTAATAAGGTAATTGCATTCATTTTTGAGTCCGTTGTAAACAACAGTGATACATAAGTGTGTCGAGAGTCCCTAAAGGGTGACACTGACTACAGAAACCACAAGGTCAGATGGTAAATTTGCTTAGATTGCCGACATTCGCGGCGCTCATCTTACTTGGTCTGGCAAAGGTGAGGCTGGGGGTCATATTGTTGGGCTCAATGCCAAAGCGTCAGGCTGTGTATGCACTTCCGGTTGCTTGAGATGCAGGTGGGGGGCATCAGGGAGTGTCGTCACGGGAAGAGGCCAAGGGAAAGAATCCCCCTGGAATGCCTTCCACCTAAATCATTCGCCTTAAATGAAAGGAAAATTCCTGGCATCTCTCTCTGGCGCAACTGCCGAGAATGAGAGACGGAGTGATAATACATTTTAGGAACTTGAAGACGCACCCTGCACATTTTGAATGTCGATGGACTTGATGGACAAAAAAAGATTGGCTTTGTAAAATAAACTAGTGGCTGCAGCTTTGTACAAAGTAAGTGCTGATTGGATTAGGATCATTCCTAATCGGACGAGGTTGAACTTCAGTTTGCAACTGTCACATCCACATCCGCGGATTGGAAACTCCGCCTTGCATCCCTGCAGATCGACATCCGGAATCAGTCGGGCGGCGACAGGAGGGGCCCGAAACTTGTCAGTTGAAGGGGGGAGGTAGGGGTCGTGTGGGATCAGCTTGGCGAAGGAAAGGAAAAGCAAATTCAAGCAAGGAGGGGGAGTAGCTCATGCAATGTTGTTCACTCTTGAGTTGTCACGTGCTCTTATCGGAACCTTTTACCTATATCTCATGACGAGTTGAGGGCACTTAGGCTCGTGCGATCAGAGACTCATCGCGAGAGTTGGACTGCATGCAGCGAATCCTGCGGGGGTGTCGGGAGGATGAGCCCCGAGGACTACCAGCAGTGGAGGCGCTTCCACGAGAGAAGGAAGAAATGGCGATACTTGTTGGTGGTCGTGGTGCTGCTTGGGATCGCCGGGGCGATCGTAAGCCTCACTAAGGGCACCGAAACGATCGGGTATGTCTCCTTGGGCTTCATCGTGGCGGGGCCTGTCGCCGTCTCCTTGATGACCCACATCTTCGATAACTTCGATAGACGATACAGGAAACCTAGGGTGAGCGAGGCACGATATTCTCTCGTTCGCAGTCGGTTATGATCGATGCTGTATGGAGTTGATTTCAAGAGGTCCGTACGATTAATTCAATCATGTCACCATTCCTTAATGCACAATATTAGCAAATCGATTGCAACCGGAGAGAGCGATGAAAATGTGTCCTGAGAAGTTGTTATTGTGTTAGCCCACCGTCTACATCTTTCAGTGATTGGACACGTCTGCACTGACATCAGGAGAATTGCATTACCGCTGGGGATCATTTCATAGAGGACTAGCCGGCATCTGCGGAAAGGCAGATTCCATGCGAACTTCTTTCCTTCTGTTCTCGCAGAACATCAGTTGGAGCACTTCGAATTCTTCTCCGATATGTACGTGTCACGTATTGGATAGGAGACGACCCCTAATCAATACACGACTGTGGGATTATTAGGTAATCTAGGGTTCGGTACAGCAAATTCAGGAAAGAAAATCCACCATCGGAATTTCAAAATAATTACACATTTATATTAATATTCAAAGGTTTAAAATAAATTGGATGATGAAATAAAATATTGGAGGGACAAAAGACACAACACCAGAAACACCAGAAAAACGTTTCACAGGCAAATCTCTATTTGATTCCCGCCCCACCCCACAAGCTGCTCCTCGCTCTTGCTCTCGCTATCCCTCTCTCTCTCCCTCTCTCTAAGTCCTCAAGAATCCTCTCGAATCCCCCGACCTCCTTCGACTCCTCCTTTTTCCCCGTGTCTTCCCGGATGAAGCCGATAAGGTTTTCCGTTCCAGCTTATGAGTCCGGATGTCTCATCCTGGGGTATTATCGGTCAATAAGGTCAGGATGTCCGTCTCCGGAGAAGGGCTGCTTTTATCTTTCTATTTCATCCTGCGTCTTGTATCGGGTCCCTAGGTACGACCTTCTTAATGAGTTTTTCAATACGCTTCATACGCGCGCCGAGTGTGGGTCTTGGGGTCATTATCTTGCTGCTTATCGTTACTTTCACTTGCTTGAGAGGGCCGTGGAGGAGGAATTAGGTCGAGATGAAGGTGTTCGGGTTGCATTCCTATTCCCCAGGTTTTCCGGAAGAGGGAAAAGTTTGTGACACCGATTGTAAAATGAAGTGGAGAAAATGGCAAATGCTTAATTGAGAGAACAATATAATGGCCTAAAGGCCGGCTTGGGACAACTGGGGCCTTAAGAAAGTCCTTCATTCCCTATTGCCTCGGAGGCTGATGATGAGGAAGCACTCGATCGTTCAGGCTGCGCAACTTGCAGCTCTCTGGAATCCTGCAGATGTTCTTACACAGATGATCACCTAGGCGTGAAGCTTCTTCCTCTTGGTTCTTCTCTCCCTCCGAGCATCTTCTGCTCCTTGATTCGCGGTCCTGCTGCCGGAAAAAGTCCTGCGGCCCAAAAATTCAGGAAAATGAATTCCCTTCTCGCGAGAGTTCCTCCACTCACGGGACGTGCACGGTCACTGCTGTTTTCCAACCCTTCCGAGTCCAACTTCAACGCTGTTACGTGTGAAGGCTCTTCGATATTTAGAAAAGTGAAGGGAATGCAGAGGAAAGACAGTCAGTGCTCATCAGCTTCTTCAATAGGAAACCGAAGAAGTGGTATGAACGCACGAGGGAGCGAGGGGGAGCTCCTACCTCCTCCGCTGCCTCCTAGCGCCTACCGCCGGAACTCCGAAGGCTCTAGACATGACCTATGCGGGGTCGTCTGGTTTTGTGGAATGCAATGCACCTATGCAATACGCATGCGCCATGAAATGGCGCATGCGTATTGCATAGGTGCGTGGTGTTTTGCTGAGGATTTCAATGCCCTTAGGACTCTTCCCGAATTCACCATAGTTCATTGCATTGCAAAACATTTCACAAAACTCATTTATTGTATTCCTATTTATTAATATGAATAATGAAAATGAAGGTTATGGTTCTTCAATCTTCAATTCGAAGTTTTTGCAGAAAAGGCACAAACACCTATCTCTGTAGGCATTGAAGTAATAAATGAGTTAACATTTTCTTTCATGTTTTACGTCATTTCATCATTTACGAACCCAGGTTAAAATTCGCACCAGCCGTATCATTTGGCGTCCGCTATGTTTCCCTTTCTGATCCAGTGCTGTGCTGCGGGAGTGGATCCAGAGCTGTATATGCTCCCAAACGTCCCGTACCTCTTCGTGGACAAGGGAGATCGCCCGGCCTTGAATCGCACGTGGTACGTGGGGTTACCCGAGGATGCCACGTACGGAGGGGCAAAGAGGATCAAATGCCGCGTGCATCGGAATGCCCTGGACGCGATACGGGGGAAGTCGTGGGACTTGATGACGTTCGTCCCGAGGCCGGATCAGGGGGATCCTCCCTTCGTCCTCAAATGGGGTTATGGAGGAATCCGGCCTGACACGGTCGAGGCCGTCCTCTTGGATTCCTCTATCGTCTTTCCTCCTGCAACTCTTTCCGAGGCGCTTTCACCGCGGCCAAACATGGAGCCAAGCATGGAGCCAAGCATGGAGCCAAGCATAGCCATCCTACCGTGGCGGGAGCCGCACCCGATGGAATCCATCAGGAATGTCCCTCGCTTCCAACCCGAACTCCGAACTCCAAGTTCCCGATGCGGTATGCCTCCGAGTTACGAGGAAGTGATGCTGCCCTCGGCGCCGCCGATGCCGGAGACGGAAGAGTGAAAGACAATTCCGTCTATGAAATTCCTCCCCATTCCACTTTCCTCTTCTGAGGTTTTTCTCTTCTCGTCGAACGTAATACATTGCAAGTGGAAGCCCATTTGAAACTCCAATTTGAAATTTGAAACTCCAATTTGAAATTTGAAACTCCAATTTGAAATTTGAAACTCCAATTTGAAATTTGAAACTCCAATTTCTCCACTTTTCAAGAAAAGGATGAAGAAACGTTTCCAATGGAGACTGTCAGTTCGTTTCGAAAATTTTTTTAGTTGCATCCTTTCCTAGGCGTGCACTGGAAATAATAATGGAAAGACAGGGAGCTCTATCCTGGTGGAATAATAGCTCTTTTCTTCAGGTTTTTGTCTTCAGAGTGTACACATTACCCGATTGCTGGAAGTTTTTCCGTGCGACTCCAGAGAATTCCCGGCGATTCCAGAAGGTCACCATCAACTTCGCTGTAGAGGCTCGCGTCTTAAATTTTTCCGGTCGGGGCGAAGAAGGGAGTCGCTATTCCGTCGGCTTCATTTCATGATCATGCATGCGGCCAAGTTTCGTCGCCAGAATTAACAGTCAAAAGATGCATCTCGTTTTCCTTCTCACACCCTCAACAACGGTCCTGACGTGTCTCTCCTTCAGCCACTTCTACCGTCAGCAACTTCGGAGCCCAGCGAGCACATACTTTTGGATATCCTAGCTCCCTTATTACGTCTTCCTCTGCACCGTGGCCACATGGGAGCGCGAACGGGATTTCGCGAACGAAACACATCGATTTTCGCGAATGATGTTGACACTTGTTGACGCGTCTCTTATGTTACCGCGATCGTGGCTTGCCCTGTACATCAGTTTCTCCATCCTTGAACCTCTTGGCCCGCTTTCTTATGTTAAAGACATCGGTCGCATTCCCTCTATGCGTCTTTTCGAGGCGCCTGTGAATGTCTGCGGCAAGCCACAGATGCCATGGCGGCTCTCTGTTTCGGCTTGGTGTCCAACCCAAATGGCTGCTGATCAGTGAATGCCCTCTAACACGTAAAGAAAAGAGTAATAACTACTATTTCGCCGGGTTTGAGAAACCTGGTTAAAATAATACGGGCAAATAGGCATTACTTTTAGTACACCCTTCGTAGATAAGCCACATTCCATAAGTGACACCCTCTATTCATATTGTCTTTCAAATATTTTCTTCGAAATTAAAATGGGAAAGGCCTAAACAGGAACCCTAGCAACATAAAAACACTTGCTGCATGAATCCCATTCTCTCATATCACTTTAATGGCGTCAGGAACAATTCATAATATTCCCTTCTAAAAAGTCACACCCTTTCCACAAGCGTGGAACGCATGTTGTCCGCCGTGTGGATTTGGCCAAAATAAGTTAGAAGAAAATGAAAGAGTATAGCTGAAAGGTTGTCAATTGAAAGAAACCACAACTTGAGTCATTCACAAAATCACCACAAATGCGCACTGTATTAGCTAGAGGAAGCTTAAGCTCATGCTACAAGACGGCAACCAGTGCAGTGTCCTATGAAAATGGAATCGACGATGCTCGGGAGAGAAGACAACCTCTGACTGACAGCTATGGAGAAATTAAGCTCTAGTGGAATCCATGCCCGAGTGATCGATCCACAACCCATGTCTCGAGAAGAAATGAGTGGAGAAAGAGAAACTGGGAGAACCCACTGGGTAAATCGGATCACGCGTTGTAATCCGAGCCTGTGGACGTAAACCAAAACCAACCGTGTTAACAATACCCTCATCGACAGAACAAATAAGAGGAAGACAGAAGGCAGTGGAAGAATGTGTTATGTCGGGGGGCAAGCTCGCTGCAATTGCATCTCGTGGAAACAGTGGAACAATCGTGTGACGGACGAAAGTGAACACGTAAAACATATCCAATTTAACTCTCTCAACTCTGGGTAGAACGTAGAGAGAAGTCGATGATGTCATTGTATGTCATGTTCCCATTTTATACCTGTTTCTTATCGGAGCCTTTATCTGTATCTCACGAACGCCCGAAAGCACCAACCTCAAAGAGAGTCATATAGCGAGGGATGCCCCAAGCGGGTGCATCGAAATGGACGACGCCGACTTCGCCGCGTGGAAGAGATTCCACGAGAGAAGGGAGGTCTGGACCTTCCTCACGAGGGGCGCGTGGTTCATCGCGTTTCTCGCCATGACCATCTGCTTTGGGGTCGAGCTCACTCGGACCGGGTTCGTGCTCGTAGCCTTCCTCGTCCTGGGGCCTTTCACCGTCCTCCATATTCCATTCTACGTCGACAGTTTCGATCGGCGCTACCGGGAGCCAAGGGTGAGAGGAAGATCCTTTATTTCGTCGTTGCGACAACACCCTCTAATTTATTATAATAATAGTTTTCAGGAGAGGTTTGTTTTATCCAGTTTGAGTGGGACTAGGGCAGTGAACGCATCAGTAGGTGTTCAAACTCTAAATATTCAACTTTTCTTTCCCAATATAAATAGATCTCAACCCAGATGATGCACGAATGCTGTTCAATCAGAATATATATTCGAGTAGGAGCATTTCTCATGTCCAATATATTTCATTGTCCAGTTTGCAAATTCAATTTATATCTGTCTTTCTTAACTGCAGAAAAAACTAGCTTGGATCCGTCAATGCACGAAAGTATTGCTTTCGCTCTACGGAAAAAAAATGAATATCCTATTACCTGCAACCTGGTTCCCGCTATTTTCCTCTGCAGCAATAGAAAATGCTGTAGTGCGTGATTAGATTAGACATCGGGATGCAGAGGGTAAATAATCCGCCACGCCCGCGCCGACTGAGGAGTACAATCTCTACGTGCCTGCTATGACTTGCTTCATCTTTGTAATATGGAAGAGATCTGGTCTTGCATGGGATTGACTCGATGCTTGAAATTGGGTCAATTCCCTGTTTTTCGATGTATGTAAAGTCTCAATTTGGGATGGGTAGGTTGGTGCTACCAAGGTAGTTAATGAACATGTGAATTACCAAGTTCAAAAACCTTTTTGATGATGAACTTCATGAAAATGTCAAATCAACCCAATAAGATTCCGATTTGCGGTGGTCTCAGAGTGTCGGCGATTATGATCTCATTACGATTATCGGGATCACTATCGTGATGGCTCGATCTTTGTGCCTTACGTAGAGGGAAGGATTGCTCAAGCTGCGAAGTCCTTTCAATGTCTCAGATGAAAGGGCAACATATTTCTCGAAATTGATTTCCTTTCAAACTCTTTCGTTTGCCAGAGATTTCTTGGATTTCTTTCCTTCCCCTTTTACTTAGGAATTTAAATCGTTTCGCAGGTCTCTGGTGAATAAAGGTTATAAATAGGTATACGTTGGTAGGTTCAGAAATGGAATATTGTTTTCCGTTACATTTCATTGGGGGCGTTATTTTTTCATATTCGCAAACATCGCATATTTTAAAAATTCCTACATTTCCAACGCCTCTTGCGTTGCAGTGTCGCGCAGCGGGTGTGAATCCTCAACTTTACATGCTCCCAAACGTCCCGTACCTCCTCGTGGAAAAGGGGACCGTCCTGAACACGGGCCGGACCTGGCACGTGGAGACGCCAGAGTATGCCACCTACTGTGAGCCCTGGGCCAAGAGGATCAATTGTCGCGTGGACCGGGATGCCCTGGACGTGCTACGAGGGAAGTCCTGGCACTTGAAGACGATCGTGCCGAACCCGTTTCAGGGGAACCCTCCCTTCGTCCTCAAGCTATGCTCTAGGACCACTTTGTCTTCCCTCGATACAGCCGAGATCTTCCTCACGGACTCCTCAAGATTTCTCCAATCCTACAACAACCCTACACTCATGACAGACGCGCCTCCTCCCTATCCCGGAGCAGACACAGATTCAAGCATTGTTTCAAGCACGGAACCAAGCACGAGCCCATGCATCGGTCCAAGCATGGGCCAGGTTATGCCCACCATATCATCAAGTGTGCAATACCAGGAGGAATCTATCAGGAATCCCACGTTTCAGTTCAACCTCCCCATCACATTCCAGTCTGAACTTCCTCCGACTTACGATGAGGCTGTGAAGGTCCGCCCGCACAATTGAACGAGACAGTGGAAAAATATTAAGTGGAATTAATTGTTCCATTGGTATTGCTTGACTATTGCCGAGATCGCCTGTGTCGGTCTGATCATGCTTTTTTTTTCCAACATCGAGCCATTGATGATGATTTTTTCTTCTCGAGGAAACTTATTTCATTCCGTGTTACAAGTTTCATGCCTTGGAATATTAGCATAGCACAATCACATCAATCGAAAGTCCAGATTTCTCTTATTAACTTCGACTTTTAGTTATGCAAAAAATATTACATTCCCACGAACTTCATGCTTTGCTCCTATTGTCACCTGATAGCGTCGGAAATCGACGAGTGATTTATTTTTGTAACTTTTGAAAGGGTGGAGTGCTCTCCACATGTGAAGAATATTTCCAAATTCGACAACTGAGGAAAAATTTGGCGAACGTTGATGCAGGAATCATCGAGAAAATACATTCGATGCACTCAGGTCTTTTCCCAGAGATTCCCACAAGCGGCCGTGAATGTGGAACAGCGCACGATGGGGTTCTCTTTGGGCTTCGCAAGCGAGATAAGGGACTATTAATGGAACTGCTTTCAATTGCGTGCGATGAAGAGCTGGTGCATGGAGAGCTTTTCACGGTGATAAGGTGGATGTCGCTGAAAAAGTGCACAGGGAAAGGGGAAGCACGTATTTTCGCAAAAAAAAGTGCACGTCAAACGAAAAGAATCTCTGAGCAGATCTTCAAGGAAAGCCCTGCAAAAATATCGATGATCCTGGCATCTAAAAACGACGAAGAGAATGGACCAGGTCCACCACCAGGTCCGCCACCAATGCACCAGGACCAAACTAGGTTGGTTGCATCTGGAATTCATGTAAAACTTTGTCGCATTTCATTCTCTTCTTCGGATTACTTCAAATCAGGTTTCGCATTGTTTGAAGGACGCGCGCTCGTTGCCTAAGCGAGTTGAAATCCCGGCATTCGCTCGAACCGACGGCCCGTGGAATCGCTGACGTCATTGTCAGTCTCCGGCTATCACGTGGCTTCTATCAGAGACGCGTCAGATCTACGAGAGGGTTCCCAAAAATATTTTCACTCACTTTCTTTCGAGTTTATCGTCATGGACACGATGCTGAAACTAGATGCAAGTTAAGCCATGTTGCCCATGCATTTCCTTTTTCTTCTTCTTAACCACCGTCACGCTCCGCGCCTTTTCTCCGGAGTTTAACGAGGGTCTTCACGTCGAAGCCGTTAATTACACCATCCAGAAGATTATTAAGGAATTTATTAAGGAATTAATTATTAATCGTATTAAGGAATCCCTTCGTGGTCTGCACGTATCAAGTGCCGAGGCCGTGGAAGGCACTGTTCGGGGTGGCACAATGAAGGCACAATGAAGGCACGAGGCACACCAGCTTTGCCATACAGTCTTCCACGCCCTTGTTAAGCCGGGGCGAAATTGCGTGGAGGTCGTGCAGAAAAATAGGATATGTCTGGGTGACACGGCTAAACACCTTTATCCAGTTTCAACCTGGTATCTGTAAAGTTTACTCGAAATAAAATTGTTGACATTACACTTGGAAACCCCTCGTATCTCATATATATCATGTATATCTCGTGGCAAACTGATATGAAGTAGATTCGCGCAAGGACCGGCTCGCTGAGAGAATTGGACTGCGTGCTGCGAATCCTGAACGCTTGCATGAACGCTTTCTTCCTTTAAGCACTGTCTACCCGATGGTTAGCAGTAGCTGAAAAATGCGTCATTTCCAGACGAGGGACATGTTTTTCCGATGTTCATGCCAGCGCTCGTGTACCATCTCGATGGGTACTGGTAAATCACAATGGACGTTTATGGAGCGGGTCGAGATCGGCGAGGTGCTGCCGTCGTCGCATGGGATGAATGAAAATGTGTTATGAGTTGAATTCCTTTGAGTATGTGTAGAGGGAAAGTTTGGCGCGAGATGTCGATTCGGGAAGGGGTCGGTGAATGATGTCGACCTGCTTCGCACTCGACTCGGAAGGAACGGAAATCGCGAATGAAAATCCATAGATGAGAATAATAGGGGCTCGTGGGCAATTCATCGCCATATATTCACGTGCTCATCCCTTGAGTAATTAATTAATTACCCGAAGATGAAGAGAGCGTCATGAAAGCCTTTCATTTGCAATTCCTGCAGTTATGTTTCCAAAGCTGTATATGTTCCCGAACGTCCCGTGCATCTTCGTGGACGTGGGAGGTCCCGCGACCGGGAATCGAACGTGGTACGTGGGGCTGTCCGATGACGCAGCGCGCCAGGGGGCGATGACCGTCGCGTGCAGCGTGGATCGGGATGTCATGGACGCGGTGCGGGGGAAGTTCTGGCGGTTGGAGACGGGCGTTCCCAGGTCGAATCAGGGGAATTCGTCGTGAAAGAGAGCCTTAATGTAATCCGGCCTGGCACGGTCGATGCTCTCCTTCTGGATTCCTCGATCGTCTTTCATCCTTCCGAACTCCAGGTCGAAACTATTCCAGCCTGGTGGAGCACGGAGCGAAGCACGGCCGTTGCATCGTCGAGAGCGCAGCACTCGCAGGAATCCAGCTGGAACGTCCGACAAGAACTTCGAGCAAGAATCAGATCCTATTCGCTTCCGAGTTACGCGGGAGATATGTCTCGGCTCCGCAGATGCCGACAGAAGCGTGAACGAAATACAAATTCCGTCTTTCAAATTCCCCACTATTCTCTTCCTGTGTTTTTCACCTGTAGTTTTTCACCTGGATGGAGTGCGACGAGTATTATACATTGATTCTGAAAGAGGAAGCGCTTCTGAAACTCCAATTCCTCGACTTGTCGAGAAAAGTTGGCAAAATTAGAAAATTTATCCCGCAGTCTCTCATTTCTTACCTTTCTCGTTCGCGCGCTTCCACGACCGGGAGCCGACATTCCGACTCCGAGAGCAAAAATCGACTTCTGGACAGAAAGATGTCGAAGAATCGTCATAAAAACGAGCCTGAGTTGCGCAGCACTGTCAGCAATTATTTTTCCTGAATATGTTTTCAATTTTGACTTTTTCAAGTTTCCACCTCCAAATTCACAAAAATTAATCCTAGCATTCTCCAAACATTTCCTGCCTGAATCCCTTTCTCTCGGCATTTTGGGAGGGAATCATGCGAACAGTCCGGAATAATCCCTGAATTTTCTGTGAAAAATCGCCGAAGAATCGAAGGAGAACGGAAGCAAAGCGGTATGTCCTTTCCGTCCTGGAAAGCAATCGAATGAGAGGCCAGCTCATCATTAATTTCATTCATTAAGTTCACGAACAGTTTCGGTGAAACTCCGGATCCGAAGCGCAAGGCCGCTTCTCCTCTCGGTTCCAAAAAAAAGGAAGCGAAAAGCGACGCACCAAGAGGACCGCCGACCAGAAATCGTAGAAGCTATTCCTGGACTCGCACTCGCTCTTTCCGACTGGGAAGGGGGTGAGAGTTAGTCATCTTTTCGAGGGTAATAGACGTTATTCTTCTTACAAAAGAATGAATCATTTTTTCATCATTTTATCACTTCGTCATTTTGTCATTTTATCATTTTATCATTTTGACATTTCATCATTTTATCATTTTATCATTTCATCATTTCATCATTTCATCATTTCATCATTTCATCATTTCATCATTTCATCATTTCATCATTTTCGTTCTCTCTCATGCAATGGATTTGAAACGCTGAAGAAGCTCTACTTATCGCCACGAAAGAAATCCTCCTTGATGAGGGGCAATGAACAGCTTTGCCAGTTGGCCGCGAGGAAGCTCACTCATGAAAAAGGACTTCGACGAGCGGAAAAACGCGAAGAAAGACCTTATTCGAAGGCGCGCTGCGAAGAAGCCGGTGTGCATGCACATTCGGTTGTTCGAACTGCGCCCCCCGCAGTTCGAACGGCGGGGGGGTATTTTCGTCAAGAGAATGGGGCAGAGGGAAAGACCGGGAATGCCCCCGTCCTTAATTCCTCATCCATGCTTGGCGCTTTTCAGCTCAACTCCTGGAAAGAAGGGACCAAGTGCTAGGAAGCCTCATGAACTTGAAAACTCATCCTACACATTGCGCATGTCGCCGGACTCCCAAGAAAGGTTTTCGAGCTTCGATTTGCAACTGTCGCATCCAAATCCTCGGACTTGGAGACTCCGCTTTGCCGTCCTCGAGGATCCCTGGGGTGGTCGATCGTGCCGTCTGGGATCGGTCGGACGACGACGCCAGGATGAGTCCGTGGATTTTTCGATCCGGCACTCGGGTCTTATCGGAATCTCTTTATCTAGTGCGGAAAAAGAGAGGAAGACGACTGATAGTCTTTCAGAGAGAGTCGTACAACGGTGGCTTCGAGAGCATGAGCCCCGAGGACCACAACGAGTGGGGGAGATACCACAAGAGGCGGTCGATCTGGCGATTCTTCACACATATCGCCGCGGCGCTCGGCATCACCGGGACGATCATCGGCCTCGCCGCCGGCTTCGCCATCGGCTTCACCAGGGCCGGGTTCGTCGCCTTGGCCCTCGCCGTCGGGGGGCCCGTCCTCATCTTCCTGGCGTCTTACGTCTTCAACGGCTTCGATCGGCGATACAGGAAGCCGAGGGTGAGCGGGGCACGGTCGTCTCTCGTTCGCGATCCGTGATGGTGTGGGATAGGTGTAACGTGAGGCTCGTTGTTGAATTTTTCAATAATTCACTTTATGAAGTAAATTATTGAATCGCTCCTGCTTCAAGTATATTTATTAGGCGATTGAGAAAAGGAAGAGCAACAATCATCCAGGGAAGTCACCATTGGGTCATCCCTCATCCCTCATCCTTCATCATTTTTTGTTCGGACGTATATGTACTGACATTACCACAGTCGATATTCCACTGATGTCGGAGGATGACGAAAAAGAAATTCTGGCTGGATTCGTGAAAGGACAGAATCCCTGCAGGGTCCGCTCGTTCCACCATTTTTCCTCAACAAAGGCATTGGCTGAATGAGTCGAATGTGGGTCCAGGAGTTTTATCTCGCTCCTTATCTGTTTGTGACGTGATATGACATATCCGGTTTTAGTGCAAACGGTTCATATTTAACGAAATCTGCATGCATCCAAATTAGTGGGAATCAGGAAAAAAATATCTCGAGTCGATGCATTACGAGCAACAATTCCCGCACGTTGAGAGCC